CTGGTGGCGGCTTTGGCGCAAGTCTGCCAGGAGTACGCTGCCGACTGCTCCGCGAAGATTGAGAGCGAGGTGCCCCGACCAGCTCCGCCGGTACGAAAACACCGTCGACAAGAGGTCCCTGCACGGGGCGACTCGCGAAAGGCAGACCGGATCGCAAGCAAGCTCGTGCAGCAGCCGCAGCCTATGCCTCTGAACGTCATCAAGATTTGTTGACTGTCACTGGGTCCTCCCTAGACCTTGTTTCTCAGGTGTGTCTCCTGCAGTATGTTCGTGGCATCAATTGGCAAACCTACCTTCGAGCACCCTAGATCAGCAGGAGCCAGACGCTGGCTGGCAGAGACCCACGCGGCCAAAGCCGAGAAGGTCCCAGCCAACACCGCCACAGCTGGAGGACGTGTCGGACGACGCGCCTGCCTTCGACACATCAGAAATGGCTGTTCGTGTCACGGATCACAGGGTCAGAGACCGCCAAGCCACGTGTATTTCCCCGGCAGCATGTGCGCCGCCGCTCTTGACGGTCGTGTTCGTGAAGCCCCCTCCTAGGGCGACGGCCTGCTGCCGGATGTCGTTGGTTGCAACTTGACCGGGCCTAGCCGCCAGCATGCACAAGATGCGCAAGCCTTCCACCGTCCCCGCGGCCTTCGATGCTTCTGTACCGGCAGCCGTGACGACTGCTTAGCAGCCTATCTCCTCGACAGGGCATAATCCATACCAAGCAGATCGAGCGAAGTGCGCCGCAATACGTTCATGTCGGAGCAGTGTCATTTGTAGTCAAGACCAGCCAGGCCGTTGCACCCCTCAGTCTGTCCCTAGCGGCCGTAGTGACGCAGTGTCATGCCAAGTCCCAGTACCCCAAGGTGCCGTGATCAAGAGTGAGTAAGCAGCGTTTCAAGCCGTGTGTTGAGCGAATGGACCAAGGTTCGTCAGCATGCTTTCGACAGAAAGGTCTCGCAAAGACCGTAATCTACGAGCTCACTGACTGCGCCATCGCATGTAGCATGATCTCATCGAAGATTTCAGTCTGAGTCGGTCCCGTCGCATCAGTTGAGATGAGAGATCATGTGGAAATCAGCGTCAGTCGGACAATAGTAGATGCAGTAGATTCATGAATGTCTTACAAGACATTTCTGTGCTTGTCGCAACAGCCTGCTCGATTGCGACAGTCAGTCCAAATCCAGGAATCCAGTTCCAGATTTGCAGGCCCCCGTTCGTTGATGGTCGCCGGGTGCTGTATAAGTCTTTGCGGCTGAGGGAATTCAGGGCGCAGATGCCTCTATTTTTTCTTGCAGTGTGCACAGCGATGAACCTCGCCAAGTGAAAGCGACAAACTTGTGCAAGCTGAGGTGCCGGCGCTTTCATGGGCCGCTAAACCCTACAGCGATTCCCGCTAAACAGCGTCACACCAAGATAAGATAAGGAGCATTCCACAGAGTCGCAGGCTGCGCTCGTGTTGCAAGCGTCACGAACATGGCAATTGTGTCGCCCTGCATCTCGTTGGTCACGGTGTCGCGCGTAGCACATGCCTGCCCCTTTGCACCCTGCTGACGAACCCCAACACTGTAAACGGGCAGTGACTCAGTGAAACAAGTCGGATGGCTGCGGCAGACATGAAACTCGGCGCCTCGCGGCGAAACAGGGTGCCCATAAAGCTGAGACGAAAGTTGGGGAACGCCAGGCCACTGAGAGAATGTATACGCAGTCGCTGAGGCTTGTATGCAAACTTCGTCTTGGGCTCCATTGAGTTCGGGAGCTGTCCAAATCCTTCGTGGCCTGAAAAACCAAGGCGTGTTCTTCAAGTGAAGGGAAGCTGTGCAGACAAGGCAGGCGACAGCATTTTCGACATGGCTTGAGTACCTCATGTCTTTGCCTCTTTGCGAGAGAAGCTGCAAGAAGGAGGCGATGCAGTTATGTTAGGGGAGATTGCCCCGCCAGGCAGCGTTGACCTGCATTGTTCGAGCATTGTGACGTAGACCCACCCTGCGTGCGCAACAAGCTGCCATGCTGCGCCATGCCCGTGGCATGCAGTCCTTCCTTCCTAACAGCTACACACTGTTGTTGCAGGATTCGTCGCTGAAAGCAACTAGCGGATCGCTGCTGTCATGCAGCCTCCGGAGAGTCTAGGATGGCGTCGGGCAAAGTGTTATGTCCTGAGTCTCTTCTGAAGCCTGGACAAGGTGTGAGAGCCTTGTAGGAACATCTTTCGCTATGCGGCAATTTTGCAAGGACACTGTGGAAGCACTTGGTAATGACACCCCACTTGTAGGTAAAGACGAGACGACTTCTGCAACGATGCACCCTGTCTCAGACTTTCCACACTTCCGCCGTTGCACAGCGACCTTCTCTTTTCCAGAAGCTGCCAGAGCGTCCAACCGGAAACTGGTTCAATGAGAGGTCCAGATTCCTTTTCTAGGCCTACACTAGACACATTGGACTCAGGAGCCAGTTGTCGGGCTGACTGTGGGCGAGGATGTGTATACGTCAGCTGACAGTTGTTCTTGCCGCGTTTTAGGACGGATCCTGCCATAGGAAACTCTCCCGACATCTGTTGCACCTGCGAGCCAACCTGACTTCATCCACAGCTCCGCAATGCGTGGTGGCGGTTCTTGGCCCTCGAAGGCACCAATAGAGTTGAGCAGCTTCGGGAGGCCTGAAGCGAAGGCGCTTGCGTGCGTAAGTGGCCATCGCGGCTTCGTTCCTTCGATCCCCGCAGCGTGGCTTTGAACGACTCGCCGCTTCCCTTCAGCCCGAGCCGAAGAGTTGGGCTACCGATCTCAATCTGGTTGGAGTTCTGCCGCCATTGCTGCCCCGCTTTGTGCTTGCGGTATTCCGTAGTGCAGAAATCGATGAGGGCTCGAAGGGTAGAATATCTGGGACGAGTCGGGGTGAAGCATACTACCCAGCACAGTGCATGTTCCGCTGTGAAATGCAACTTTGCCTCTAGGACTCGCTTTGAACGCTGAGGGCTTTCTTAATCATCGGCCTTTGAGCTGCTTGCAGCCGTCGCACGTTTCGATGCAAGCCCGGGGCACTTCCCTCAGCAGTCCGGGTCCGTTTCGTCGTCGAAAGTTCCCACGATGTGGGGCAAGGCGCAGGTCATGCGGCTGTGCAGTCCATCAGCAGTTGAGTTGAATGTGAGAACTGCGTGCAGCTCCGACTCGCCCTAGTGACCCTAAAGTCCTATAGCTTTGCCACCTCCCCTGCACTGCATGAGAAAGTCGAGCCCTAGCTGCCAATCCTCTCCGGCCCCTCAGAAGCAGCCTTTCCCTAAACTGGACAAGTAGACGAAATCGTTTGTGCGTGAGCAGAGCTTGTTGCCAAGCGCAAAGGCGTGCAAAGGTATTGGAGCAATCCGGCCTTGTTGCAAACCGTTTGAGGATGGTCCTTCCTCGCTGAGAGAGGGATTGTTTCCAGACCTACCTTGAGCCATGAGCCTGACTTGGGATGGCCAGGCCATCAGCCGCCCGACTACTTCTCCGACTTGGTAAGGGGCTGGGTCCGGAAGATGGCCCCCCCATCGCGGGTTGCTGATCTGTCCCGTTCTGCCTTCAAGCAGATGGCATGGCCGGATGTCACTGAAAGTTTAGAGTGGCACCTCCAGCTGTATGCATTTCTGCCCTCAGGCTGCGGAGCCTGCTGAGGTCCAGCACCTGCGCATACTGAAGTCTGGCAAGCGATGAAATTCAGTATTTTGCACCGGCCCTCACAAAACAGTTTGCGTTCTCTACCTTGCCTGATTCACGATGCGATGGCCTTGTGGACGTCCGGGACCAGTCGGGGCCTCAGTCAACCTTGCATGGACATTCCTGAGCACCTAAGCAAACTAATAACAACAGTGCGGAAAAGGGAGCCTGAATTTCTGAACCCCCAAATCCTGCCTACGAGGTCGATAGGTGGCTGCACGGACACACCGCTCTGCTGCTCGGGTGCTCGAGGTGCGACTGCTCAGTCGTGTTTCCAAGATGTCCATCCACTCTTGCTGTGATCTTTCTGTCTGAACTGGCAAGTGAAGGTGCATGCACGGCACGGCACGGGAGAGCGTGTACGCAGACGTGAGCATGCCCATGTCTTCGTTACCTGCCCGGCCAAGGCACCAGATGGATTTGTCATCATAAAAAAGCACAATCTATTCCCTGGACGACCATGAAGATCTTTCCGTCAGAAAATGGCAGATCTCACTAGTTCACTAGTGGCCTGCCAAATCCGCACCGCAGCCGCAGTGGTGAGGGTGCACTGAGACCCTCAGCCCGATTCGTTCGAGCTTGCTTTGCCGCCGAGGCTGTGGAGGACCGGAAGAGACTGGAGCCTGTGAGCAGGGAGTGGCAGCAGTCGGAGGGCTGCTTACTCTCCGGATGACTCCGATCGGGTCACTTTTGCATCCACTTCTCACCTCCCTGCGAACTTCAGCGTGCAGTCGCGCCAGCAAGTTGTTTAACTTGACGAGCCTCGGCACTGCCCTGCGGGGAACAGGATCTTTTGCAGTTTCTAAGCCCTTATAAACCCCAAGCCTGACTGTGCCAGCTGTCGCTCGCACCATCGCCGGGACGTTCTGTTGATGTGGCTCGAGTCACCTTGTGACGAAGAGTAGAGACATGAATCTGCTTCCAGCTCCTAAGCCTCAGCCTTACCTCGACCCCAAGCTCAAACCCTAAACCCGTCTGGCTGTGTCCGAGTTGCGAGAGCCTTAAGCGCTCCTAAGCTTGTGTCCCGGGCTATGTCGTCTCGGTCCATTACTTGTGACTTAACAGTTCGTGCGGGACTCTGGCTATGTAGACCTTTATACCCTGGTGACCCACCGTCGAGACGCCTTGCGAAGCCCGCAGACCCGGACGCCCTTAGCCCTTTTCCCATAAAGGCTTTATAGGGTTTAAAAGGGCCGGGCGAGCTTCCATCAAGCCCTGTGTGAAAAAGGGTTGAGGCTTAGGGAACCGAGAGTCGAACGTCCCAAAAACCCTGAAGCCGGAAACCCTGTTCTTTTGCATGGCTTTCCACCGTGCCTGGCCATGCGTTCATGGCTACTGCTGGCGGCCTTCCGCGAGGCGCTCGTGAGTTAGCCATCTTATATAGACAGATAGATGGATAAATGGATGGATGTATGGATGGGATGTGCTTGACATGTACCGTGTTGTAGTGTATGCTAATATATAGGCCTGTCTGCATGTCGGTCTTGCCGTCTGTCAGTCTGCCTGGCTCTCCGTTTGCCTGCCTGTCTGTCTGTACAACATGTATGCATGCTGCATATCATCTACACTTTGTTCGTTTCGACATCGGAGACTCTTGCGGCCAGGCAGTCAGCGATGACGCAGCAGCCTCTGGGGCAGCCTCATACTGGCGGGGCGGCCGGGTGCAGGCAGCAGAGGAACCCAACTCCCCTGCACCGATCATTGAAATCGAAACCCGGTGGAAATGCGAGCTTCAGAAAGCAAGAGGCACGAAGTCAGGATCTGCCTGGAGCCTTCCCTGCCCTGTGCGAGCGTAATGGCCGAAAACCGAACCGTACTATTCAGGTCCCCGTCCATCCTTATGAAAGCTCAAGGACTCCGAAATAAGGTGTTCCGAATTTTGCAGAACCCCCCGAAACGGTGGTGCTGTCACGGTACCGTAGGTTTGAGAGAGGCCGGGCAGCGCAGTGTAAGTAGGCAGAGCTTATCAACACTTGTCAGTGACAAGATGATGAACATCATGGCTTTGCTGAGGAAGATGGTCAATTGCAAATAGACTATCAAGGCGATGCTCCTGCTCAAGAGTGTTTGGAGTACTACCTTGACAAGCTGAAGGTCGAGGAGATGCAGAACCAGGTACTCCACGAGAAGCTGGCCACATCCACCCGCCAAAGAAGCGGATCGGTTCGTCCTCGTGGAGTTCTCGTCTTCCTTTTGATGGAGAACGCGGATAAGGTGTTGCACAAAGACCTGGCCTTGTCCCTGAGATGCTTGGCGCGCTTCTTCTGGCGCTATCCGGTTGTCATCTTCCACACCAACAGCACGACGGCCTCGGAATTGGATTGGATGCGCTCCGGGGCCAATGTTCGTTAACTTACCATTAAGTACCATAGTGGAATTTACCCATATAGGCTCCCAAGTAGTTCCTTTTTGCGGTTCATATTTAGAATCCTATAAGGTAATCCCAAAAAGGAACCACTTAGGAGCCTATGGGTATAGACGATAGTGCAAATATGCTCTCTTTATACATCATCAGACCCAGTAGCAAGAGCCGAGGCTCCGTCATTCCGGGTCACTTGCATGTGGACTTCGAAGAGGTGTCTTTGGGTTTTCCTGCATCGCTCACTGACTTTCCGGGCGGGCCTTGGGCTCGGCGCTCACGACGAGGATGCGCCGTCAGGAAACGCTTTCGCCAGCTGCAAGAAATAGTCAGCTGTTGAACGAGTAAAGAGACAAAGGCCCGACGCTTTTCTACGCCCGCCGTCCTGCATGCTTGACGGGCAGCACCAGCCGGGGCCCTGTCCTAGCTGTGAGTTGAGGGGTAGCAGGACTTTTTGGTGCAAAGGTGGGGCCTACAGCGCAGCTGTGGCTGCCGCTGCCCAGCTTGGCGACCGCAGTGCTGGCCGCCACTGCCGGCACGCTTTGTGCAGCGAGTAGATTTGCAAGCTGTTTCTGTCCGGAGTCGTGAGCACGCACAGGTCTGTTCGTACATCGTGTGCTTAGCTTGAAGGCTCTGTAGCATTGCAGAGAGATGATCTATATGTCTTCAGACCAGCAGCCGCACACGCTGCAGCATCAGCCACTCTCAACGATTACACGGTAGGTTTAGGAGGTTAGCAGCACATCAGCCGCTTCTTGCCATGGATCAGGCAAGCTGTGCTCAGTAGCGACTGCAATGGTTCGCCCACTGCTGCATGCATGGGCATCCGCGGTCTCGTTCAGCAGCGCACTCGCATCTGACAGCGAGGCGGGACCAAGAAACGGCCTGGATTTGAGAGACTCGCCACCATGCGCAGCTTCCGTGCTCCCTTATTCTCTGCAGGGACTATGGGACGATGGGTGCATTCGGGTACTAATTACTCGCAGCGAAGCCTTAGTAATGCTTAAGCTTCACAGGTCGTTTTCTGGTTGCCTGGGCGGTATGCGTAGAACTCTGGAAAGCCAGTGCGTCGAATGCAACCACCCACTACTCGTAGAAGACTTTAGCCCCAGTTTTGGTAAGTAGACTCTGGCCAAAGGGACAGTCGCATCAGAAGCGTCGTATGGAATTCCCCGAGTTCCAAGAGCTAACACCCGATCAGCCCCTAAACCTTGCAAGAAGAGCCGTGAGCGCCGAAGCCCTGCAAAGAATATGCGTTGTTTTTCTTGGGTCCCCGTGCGTCAGGTGCTGGCTCATTACGGCAGCTTCGAGGCTCCTGTACTGACAGCAGCTTGGTGCATCCGAAGCCGGAGAGCGAAGGGCATAGGCCTTCTGGAGATTCTAAGAGAGAGTATTTTTAGTGTTTAGGGGTGTAGCGTTTAGGGGCTGACAGACCTCTGAGTCCGCGAGAGGGAGCGAGAGGGGTGTAGGGTTTAGGGTCGTAGTCGTAGTAGCCATAAATATTTTCACAAAGGCAACTCGAATCTCTAAGGAGACGAGCTTTGAAGAAGTCCAGAAGCATTTGCTGAAGGGTAGACCCTTCGTCGTCACTGATGGAGCTCGCGGTTTGCCCATGGCTGTTCCTCGGCAAGGTCTTGGTGTTACGATGCTTTCCGATTCGTTCGGTTCCCTTGCGTTTAATTCCTGGCATCCGAGAGGAATGGGACTGCGACTTCGTGCGGAAGGAGTTCCCCGACTCCCGGATCCGCCACGAGGGAGGGTCCAGCGACGCTTGGCTTGCAAAACGATGCTGCTGCAACAGGTTACTTGTTTGTGCCGTGCCAGTCTTGCCTAGCTGCCCAACTCTTGCCGCGAGGAAACGAATGGTGTACGAATGAGCAGCGACTGGCCAGCGATGGCCAAAGCATATCCTGATGCTGGGAGGTATCCAGATGGAGCCCCGAAGACGCGGCCGTTTTACTGGGACATCGCCAAAGCCTATCAGGCCCCTAAACCCGAAACCTCAAACGGCCTTAAGCCCTAAACCCTAAGCCCAGGCTGAACGCGAGCGAAAGTGGGGCAAAGATCCCAAGAAGGTGGTCAAGAAGATCTTGGAGACAAGTCAGGTTCCCTACTGGCTTCCTCCGCAAAGCTCCAAGGACACACTGCTATGTAGGGACTTTCCGAAAAATTGGGGGTACCTGATTTTGGGGTCCTTATGATAAGGATCCTACTCCTGTATTTAGGATATTAGGGTCCCCTATTTTCGGAAACCCCCATGTCCATTGTTCTGTACCAATCATGTTTCCGGTGGTTGCTGTGGCATGGGCCTGGCCTCGTCCAGCGTTCCCCCTTCCATTGGCTTAGCATGTGCATGAGGACATGGGCCACAGCTCAGAGATGTGGTTCCATCCCAAAGGTGCCGGGGCCCGTGCGCACATGGCGCCTTAGCTACCATTGCGAGGGTCTTTCTGGGGGAGCACCGCGCTTGAAGCAAGCTGTTCGCCTAGGATCCGCACTGTTCCACGACGGTCTCCTTCTGCTTCTCCGGCCAGCGCAAGTGGCGCATGATGGTGGCTCCTCTCTCATAGAAGTCTGAGGCTATGTCCTACGACCTTTTGCAGTGCTTATTGTCCGTGACCATCTGAGGTGCCACCAGCTGCCCCCCATCCCGAAGGATACTTTGACGGGGAGATCTATGGTGCACGGAACCCTGAGAGACAAGGAGAGTGGCAGCCAACCTTTGAACTCCTGGCTCCCAATGGCTCGGCAGTTGTCGTCTACCCCGGTATGGTTCACGAGACCGTATCTACAGGAGAGGACTGTTCATCTTCTGTTTCCCAGACATTTTCGGTGCCAACTCCGGCAGCCTACTACCGAGCCTTTTGGCCCCGCTTCGCCCTGATCGGCGAGGACGTGGGTGGCTGCGGGCATGTCGTGGAGAGTCTCGTTACGCGGTTCTTGTTAAACGTAAAGGAGCTGTATATAGGTTAGTATGATAGGCGGAGGCCACAACTGGAGATTTGCCACAGGCATTATGAGTTCCATGATTGGCAGCAGCGCCGACTAAAAGTTCCTTGCCACACAAGCCTACAGAACCCTTCCTAAAACCCTTCAAAAGCCTGATCAAACCAGGGAAAAACAACACAGGTCACGCTGGGAAGCGGCGCCAAAGTCCGGCCTGCTCCTGAGCCAGCGGCGCGAAAGGCAGCCACAAAGTTTAATGAGAAGGTGGGAGTGTGCCTTTAGGGGAGTTACATATTATGAGGATTTTGTTGGGGTTGCCTGACACTTTAAGGGGTGGGGAGGGGGGGGCCTTGAGATCATGATTATGCTGATGTCCCAGAAAACACCGGAAGGTAGACAAGAACATGGATGGTCGAATCTCAGAGGAGGAGCTCCAGAACGGCCAGCGGAAGGGGGGAAAGCCCGAACTTGCTGAGCTCGTCAGCTTTCATGACACCAATGGTGATGGGATCGTTTCCTCAGAGGAGCTTATTGAAAGCTATGTTATGTTTGCAACTGCAAGCTTCAAGGCATCAAAGCAGGGCCGCCGGAATGACCTCTGACTCATGAAGGTACGAGAGAGTTCCGGCGATCTAGAGACCTCGCCCGGCAAAGTGCTGCGTGATGGAAAGACCGCAGGTTGTGCCTTTCTGGGGCTGTGTTTCCAAGGGAGGTTAGTTTAATCATTCTTTTCGAGATTCTAGCGACTAGCTCGTATCACGACGTGCCACGTGACGCCGGTGGTTGCAGGAGTCCACTACACTCATGACTGACTCCTCCGAATTCGGCTGTACCTGCAGACAGGAGTGGCTCAAATGCTTCCAAGCAGAGGCATCTCCGACGGTGATGCATGCTCTGAGCTGAACGATCGGAAGTATTGCCCGACTTGCCCGGCCCCTACTTTGCTGCCATACCAAGGGTTCGCATCTGCACCAAATATCACGAACACGAGTGAAAAGCTGCGTCAGGCTAGTGGGACATGTCCGGTGCCTTCAAGGACTCTTTCACAAAAGAGGACACCAAAGAAGATGTACTCGGCTACGACGACACTGCATTCTACTACTTTGTCGTCAGTGTGCTGACATGTGTTGCTCTGCCTTGGACGATTGCCTTTATTGACAGTTTTGTTCGTCGCGGGCACGATGCAGACAGCGAATACCCTCGGAAAAGTACCGAGGGCAGTACTCTGCGTTATTGCAAAACGGCGGCAATGGTGGAGAAAGTCGACAAGTCTCGAAGTGACGCCCGGAAGTTCACGCCCACGGCAGCCGTGAGTTCACTTGTTCAGTTTATAGTGCTGTCGATTATGTGGGCATGTATCTTCGGAACGATGACGCAGTTGGGTCACGAAAAGGAAATTCAGAAGTTCGACCCTTTTGTCATTCTGGATGTGCCCCCCTCTGCAAGCGGCAGTGCAATCAAGCGAGCATATCGCAAGTTTTCTCTCATCTATCATCCGGACAAGAATCCCGACGATCCCCTCGCTGCATCTCGTTTCATTCAGATTACTAAAGCCTACCAAGCTTTGACTGACGACATCGCGAAGCGGAACTGGGAGAAATACGGAAATCCGGACGGGCCCCAGACGACGAAGGTTGGCATTGGCCTACCCCGATTCCTCCTAGAGAAGGAGAACCATTTGATGATTTTGTGCAGTTTCTTCTTCGTGATCGTTTTCTTGGTGCCCATCACATTCATTTGCTATTATCAGAATGCCAAAAACTTTGCTGCGAATGGCGCCGCCTGGCCTTTGATTTATAGTTTGTCAGCTAGCTCTAGAGCTTTCGGATGTAGTAGTTAGCTACATCACTCGCCACCCGAAGCCCTAAACCCTAAACCCTGCGTGAGCGAGTGTGAGAGTCGGAAACCCTAAACCCTAGACCCAACACCCTAAACCCTAAACCCCAAATCCATGCTCATAAAACCAGGCTATGATAGAGACGCTTCAATTCCTGGGGTGCCTCGGCTGCCTCTGTGAGTTCAGTACCCTCCTGCAGCCGTTTTGGGTTTTGGGGTTTTGGGGTTTAGGGTTTAGGCTTTAGGGTTTTAGGGGTGTTGGGTTTGGAGTTTCTGGTTGCCGTCACTTTCGTCCGTCTCTCCTTTCCAAAGGTATTACATTGGAGAATCTGCACGTGCCAAGCATGGCCCAGAGCTTTTGGCCGCGTGTGCGGAAAGCCGCCTTATGGGCACTCGCCCCACAGACAATGCCGATATTAAGAAACTTGGAGGAGCGCTGGTGAGAGGGTTTAGGGATGTTTAGGGGTTTAGGGTTTAGGCTTAGGGGTTCAGGGTTTAGGTTGCAGGATATCACTTGCTGGAGGCACTTCAGAGAGACCTCGTTCAAAAAAGGTTGCAGGATGTTTGACTTGGCTTGGTTGTGCCAGAACTCGGGCCCCAAAACCCCTCTCGAGCCCACAGGACACGTGATCGAGCACAAGAAGCGCGTCTTCACCTTCCCAGCTGTGATGAAAAACCAGTATCTAACCTGGGCTCACATGCAGAGGCGTCACTCTCTGATGACGCCTCCTCTTCGGAAAGACCTGGATGAATTGCTCGGGCATTCCATGAAGGTCACACAGGCCATGATCGAGGTGGCCTGCATGAGAGAGTGGTTCGGCACAGCTCAAGGCATGATCGAGTTCAGGCGCTGCTTGGTGCAAGGTCTCGACATTAAGAGCTCACAGCTGCTGCAGATACCACATTTCAGCGATAAGGAGGTCGACCTCTTTCAAAAAGCCTCCCCTCCCGTCACAACTCTATCAGAGTTTCTGGCTTTGGAGCCGGATGAGCGCAAGAAGCTCAGTCAGCTTGGTGACACGGAGCTCTTAGACGTGGAGGCGTTCTGTGGACACATCGGGAAGACCTTGATAAAAGCGCACATAGGCGTTGAAGATGAATCAGAGATCATCGTGGGGGACGTCGCCACCGTGAAGGTGCAGATGTGTCGCAAGCATCTCGCAAGCGACGAGGCTTTGGGACCGGTCTCCGCGCCTCTGTTTCCCGGGGCCAAGTTTGAGGAGTGGTGGCTCTTTTTGGTCGACTCCGGTGCAAAGGCTGGGTTCTTGTTGAGGTTTGGGTTTTAGGGTTTAGGGTTATTGCATCATGTACGATCACAGTGTCTACTAGAGAGCCCAATTATGGCACCTCACACATGACTTACTTTGTCACGCATTGAGCCCGATACGACACCAACACGCACCCGGAAAGTCCCTCCTCCAAAAACGCGATCGCCCTAAACCCTAAACTGCTAATTGCGGGGAATGCCTTATTTATGTGTCATTGATTGTTTACCTTTTCTGGTGGCCTAGCTCTCTCCCTTTCTCTAGTTGCAGCGGAAACGGAACTATGCGGAGACTTGCCCCTAAACCCAGAAAGCCCTAAACCCAAAAACCCGAAAGCCCTAAACATCTTCGCCCGGAGTGTCCGAGTCGTGAGAGTCCGAAGCCTGTAAGCGACACCAGGAACCCAGAGACTCCAAACCCCGGAGACTCTAATATCATCGAAAATCTATCCTTCAAGCTATAGTAGGGACTCTCATATCTTTTAAGGCAATTGAAGGTATATCATATATCCTTTACATTATAGTAGGAACTCTAACATCATTTAAGGTACATACCCGTTGAGTTGTAGAGGGAACTCTACTGACTTCCTTAGCCGTGGGATCTCTGCCTCTCTTCAAAGCCCGGAGGAGAGGATCGTCCACTTCGAGCGAGTGCTCGATCTCGAGCGCTGCCTGGAAGAGAAGCTCGGCTTAGGGTTTAGGGTTAAGGGGTTTAGGGCTTAGGGTTTAGGGTTTAGGTGTTTAGGGTTTAGGGGTTGTAGGGGTTTTAGGGGTTTAGGGTTTAGGGTTCAGGGATGGAGTCGAGGAAGTAGCCGTTGGCCCTTTTGGGTCTAGGGTGTAGGATTTGTTGTTCGGGTTTGTGAATTTTATCCGGGCACTTGGCTGGTTTGGGCTTCCTAGCACCTCAAATTGGAGCCCTTTGCTCCTTCCTTCATAGCCGGGACCGTTTAGGGCAACACGAACGACCCCTAGGCCTAGGCTTAACCTTTGGTTTCGCCGGGAAACTAAATTGACACCCTAAGCCCTACTTGCCTAAACCCCTAAGCGCAAGACCCTTAAACCCTGAACCCTACCCCACACCTCTGATCCTTGAATCCCCAAGGCCTTAACCCTAAAATCTCTAAACAAGTCAGGAAGCTGCGCTTCCAAGTGACGAAGGCGGGGGAGAACAAGCTTGTCTTGTATGCCATGTGCCTCTTGGCAGAAGCTTGTTTGTGTATACTGGTATCACCACCACCACCACCAACACCTTCACTGCCACTACCACGAGCACTGCGAGGACGTGCTTAACTTTAGTAGTTTTCTACGTCCTGATTAGCTTATTCGTAGTATTCAGACTGTTTGCTGTATGATGGATATCTTCATTGTGATTTGCAGGCATAATGTCTCTGTCTTCGTATGGCTATTTTTGGTTTACTCCTGCTATTACCAGCATTAACGTTCGCACTCAGTGTTCAGATTGCTGTCTGAGCCGACTCTGGTTCCTGTTTCGGAATAATAATAATCATAATAGTAACAATAATAATAATAGTAATAGTAATAGTAATAGTAATAATAATAATAAAATAATAATATGAATAATGATAATAAATTCAATCATTATTATTGTGATGGCCAGAACTCATAAAAATAGAGCCGAGGTGACGCGTATGCTGGCATGGATCACCGGATTGAGCTCACCTTCACAGCCTATGCAGAAGACGAGATGATGCGCAAGATGCCCGTACATCAGGCGCGTCGATCATGCTCGCCTTTCGACTCGTTAAGGCAGAATGCACGCGAATTGCGGTCAGTTCTCTTCGCAGCACTTCCCCGCGGTGCTGATTCATGCTGTTACTGTTATTGCTAGTGGCCTTGCTACTGCTATCACGACTAACAAGTATTCCCTAAACCCTTGAGCCTTAAACATGGCTTGTGATGGCGAAAGCAGGAAGACGAAGATTTGGATCTGCAGCCTACTCTTTTTCAGCAGTGGATGGGTGACTTCAAAGGTGACGAGAGCACCTTGTCAGAGCTTTGTCCCAGCCAACCATGGCTCAACTTGTTCGATAATTGCGGTTTCGGGTTTGGGGTCTTGAGGGCCCAGGCTTTCAGAGACGGCTCTGCGTATGTCGATGGCTTTCGGGGCTTGTACTGTTCTACTTCCAGCAGACTGAGCCCATGTGAGCAAAAGACGGTGTTCAGGGCAAAGTTGCAAGGCGGCTTTACACTTTTGGGGGCCCCCGAGGTGAAGAGGAGGAGGATGGGGAAAGGGAACGTAGAAGATTCCGTGGTCGTGCTGGCCACAGATCAAAGGCCGCTTGGCTGAATGACTGAACAAAAAGTACGTGCGTATACCGCCATGTATGCATGCATGCATGGATGGATGTCTGTCTGTCTGTCTGTATGTATGTATGCATGTATGTATGTATGTATGTATGTATGTACATACATATGTATGTATGTATGTATGTATGTATGTACATATGTATGTATGTATGTATGTATGTATGTATGTCTGTATGTATGTCTGTGTGTGTGTATGTATGTATCTGTGTGAGTGTGCTTCTGTCTGTAGTATGTTCCTGCTCTAAAGTGTGATGTTCCTGCACGCATGCATGCATACATTTCCCAAAGGCCCGTGCATAGACGTCTCTTTCGAACACATGCAGCTTGACAATATGCTGCCAACATCCGTATACAAACAAACGAACGAACGTACGAACAGGCATATATATGTACATACATGCATACATATGTATGTATGTGCACATGTAGTTGTGCATGCATGCGTGTGAGTGTGCCTCTGGCTGCATAAAGCATAATGCTCCTGCACGCATGCACGCATACATTTGCCACATGCTCATGTTTGTGTCTGTGTGTGCATACAAGTCTTTCGCAGACATACAGCGGGGCAATGTGCTACCAACATGTGTATACAAACAAACGAACGAACATACGAACATCACTCTTCCGTCCTGCGCTCTTCCTTCCTGCGGCCAGATGCAGGATGCAGGTGAGGGGACTCAGGAAGCAGCAAGAAGCACAAAAGCGGTGGAGCAGCTAAGCAGCATTTCATATTTGACGCCGCTGCTGTGTTGCATGTCTTGCTTGGTAATTCAATAGGCCTTTGCTGTAATTGAATAAATTCTACTGCGCGGGCCAGGGAGGATGACGAGGAGGATGCCGACAACGACTCTGATGCCAGTTCCTCCGGCTCAGAGTGATGGCGCATCAGGTACAGGAAGTGGCATTTCCAGGTCCTTTGGACCACAACTCTTGCTGTTGCTAGCAGCTCCCAGCTGCTAGCAGCCATCTTGCGCCATACAGTTTCACAGCAGGTGCCGGTTAGGGCAAAAGCTCACAAAGACCAGAACCTTCTACATCTCCTCCTCGAAGATGGTTGAGCTTTTACCCTGCGCCGTGCGTAGACCTGTAATGCACCATCTTGGTCGTCATGGTTAGTGGATTCATTAAAGTATATTTTAGAAAACAGTACACTTTTGTATATTATAGTACACGTTATCGTGCAAGTCTATCGATCGTGCTGCTCCTCAAGCGCCTGTGCCTTGAAGGATATTGCTCTCCCGTAGACACCACAGCGATGACCAGATCGAGATGTTGGGTCTCCCGAGACAGACCTACCTCCACAAGCCAAGCAAAAAAATGAACGACCAAGCCAGGGTCACGAAGCTTCTCTGTGTCCCTTGAGCCACCGTTGCAGGTAACATATAAGAATAGTAATAAGAATAGTACATAATCCATAAGAGGGTGCGTAAAAAGCCTGTCGTCACCTCCTGCCTGGATTGTCCGAGCACCGCACTCCAGGCCTGCAAAGACCCAAGAGGATCACTGTCACCGTCGCGGCCCACCTAATCGTGAACAAGAAACAAGACATCTTCGACGTCTATCAAGTTAGAGTTGAATAATTACAGAGCAGCAGGACGGTGTGTCTTCGACTTAGTATTCGATGTGGATCATGCTTTTCCACCCGGTCTTACAGTAAGAGGTCAGCAATCCCGGATACAAACACAAACGCTACCAACAAAAGCATGCGCAAACAGGCACAAAGGCCCACAGTGGAACGCCTGCGCAGGCATGTGCGCGAAAAGCAAGCACATAGATACACATGAGCAGCTAGAGGCATTGCACGCGCTATTCCTTCCTGCTTCGTTACGTAACTACTTGGGCACTTGTCCGAATTCCAAGTGGCTGCCAGGCTGAACTGGATGCATGCCACGCACTTCTTCACCGCCAGCAGCAGAGCTTTCGTTCCAGTTTTGGCTGGTGCCTACAGATTGGACTTGTGGGCATGCTGGGAGGTGGCAGAGGTCTCTGCTGTGATGTTCGGTCACATTCGACATCTGGGTTCTTGCTGCTATTTCCATGCTCAAGGTGGGGCTTCAGTGCGGCAGGAGTTGGCCCAGTTAGTTCATTTGTTCCTTGAGACTTGCACGCATTGCAACCGACTTTGCCAGTTCATGCTTATGCTTCAGCAATCATCCCCCAAAGATGTCGTGCCACTAGCAAGCTGACATCAGAGCCCCTTCAGTTTCTCTTGCAGAGCTCTGTCACAGAAGTAGAACCACTCCAAGCCTGCCAGCACAGCAATCAGCATGCTTGAGGGTTCAGGCCTATAGGCTCAGAGGCCTTAGGACAAGTTGCTGGAGACTTAGATCCTTGAATGTAAGGCTTCTTTTCAGGGATCTGTTTGGGGGGTTCTTCAAAGGAATCCACGAGGTTTTTTTGGGGGGTTCCTTTGAAGGGATCTAGCAGGGTTCCCTTCAGGGTTACTGCAATAAGGGTGTTTCTATATGAGTAGTGCTCTAAAGTAGGGTCCCATTTTTCGGTCACCAATATAGTTCGGGGCACCCTTATTAAAAGGACCCTAAAAGGGACCCTAATTTAGAGAACTGCCCATATAGAGGACCAGGGCTCGTTAGGATCTGCGACGCCATGGCCGGCTACGAGAGGGGAGCTCCCTCTCAAGTGGTGCAGAACAGCCTGCAAGCACGACTGGACCAGAAGGAGATCCCGAAGCTTCTAGGTAGAAATCAGGGTGCTGGAAGGGTCATTACTATGAAGTCCCGAGGTACTGTTGGGTATAAGTGTTTGATAGAATATACTAGAATTCCGAGGCAGAACAGCCAAGAAAAGTGGGGCAGGAGAGATCGTAATGGAGCTTCACGCAGGTTGCTAAGTTATGATGAGCTTGCTTGGGTGCCCTTAGTTGCCAGATTTTTCTGAGATTCTCAGATTCTCAGCAGCTCAGGTGGATATGCGATTGTGGCGCTGCAAACTTGTCGACTTGGAGCCACTGCACGAAATGCAGCAAGCCGAGACCCGAGGACTGACTTCATCCCTCTGCAATCTCTCCGATGGGTCACTCTTGGCGATCCCTCCTTCTGTGTGAGAAGCCCTTGGTTTTGTGGTCTCTTGTTACTGTTACTGTTCTTTGGTAAGGCAGGAACCCGATGTGAGAAGCCCTTGGTTTCGTGCTATCCCATGTCCTCCGCAGGATAGGGAGATGCGGATGCAAGCGCGCGCTGTCCAAGGTCTGGGCCGTGGTGGAGGACCGGTCACAGTTGCACAGGAGTCATGTCTCATGTGTCATGCGCCAGCTGCCGTAGCTTTGGATCACACGAGACTCACCCTCGATCGGATTGTGCATGCAGGCTACTTCGAGCGCACCACCACCGAACAGAGGGGCTGCGAGGATCTGAGAAAGGTCAAAGGTGGCCTTGACATCTACGGTCGGACTCGAACGGACTCGCCCAAGCTCTCGCCGTCGACGCCGCCCAGTACCGGCCCGGCAGACGGGCCAAGAAACAGCCTAGTAGCTGAGCTTGCTTGAGCGTTTTTGGGGTAGGACTTGTTTAGGGGCTCTATGAAGGGGTTATAAGGTTAGAAAAAGTTCGACCCGGTTCCATTGTTATAGTTTGCTGACACCTTGGACCCTAATACCTGAACACAAAGCTTTCACAACATCCTAAGCAACAACCTAGACCTACACTCGAAACCTACCCAAGCCCGAAATCCCAATAAAGAAGACATCCCAGGCTCCAGTGGGAACTTTGCCCTCAAAGACGGATCGACAAAAGGCTGCCCTGGAAAGGCTGCGTGCGCCAAAGAAGAAGCGACGCTTGACACAACGAGTTTGAAATTCAGAGTTTATAGGGTTTGTCGCAGCGTTTTATCCTGGTTATCCTTGCTGAACTTGGAGGCTGTCCCTGCCAGGAAGGCGGCTTATGCCTAATCGTTATTGGTTCGTTATTGGTTTTGCAGGCCAGGAATCAGCAGTGACAATGTCCATTAATCACTCGGAATGACATGTGGTTTAGATCGCATGAAAAACCATGTTGGCGCGACCGCATAATCGCCAGGCTCGAACCCGAAACTAGACATATTGGCTTTCAGACAGGAATTCAGAGGCACTCGGGAAACATGACGTGTAGAACTACCTAACTATGCAGTGCTTGGCCTCTTCATGTTCCTGAGCACAGATTTTCATAGTAAGTCATATACCCTCTTTTTGTTGATATGATGCGTTTCACCCGTATTCAATCGTGGGTTACACCTCCAAACGATTAAGCACAAAGAGCCTCGCCCGGCACGAACGACAGTAAGTTCCGGCGGTATGCAAGATCGTCGCTAGACATTTTATCGACAAAGGTTAGTGTACATAAGGGACATCATCCGGCAAGTCCGAGTGTGAGAGCGTAAACCCGAAACTCTGGCAATCACTTTGGCATTCGGGCGAAGTCCCACCAAAAGGAAGATCACACATGCGCGGTTGAAAACAAGCTCCCGCTAGTCTTTCCATAGGAGATGATCTGTCTCCGCCACGGACTCGCGTGTATAGAGCACCTTGGCGTGATTTGTCGGCACCAGCATGAGATCGGCAGCACGTGCGCGGGTGAGGAAAAGTCTTCCAGAAGTCGAAGTATTGAGAGACGGCGGGAATCAAGGACCTGGCGAGGGAATTAGGCATCCCATGGCAGAAGGTCAAGCTACATGTGTGTTTTGAGGCTGAGAATGCTCGATAGACCCACCACGAAAGACCGCAAGACTTTGAGAAAAAGGGCCCGAAGGTGAACATGTGCAGCTCTGCAGGACATGATCAAGGGGTGATTGCTCGTTTGCCTGCCCATGAATTGAAGGCTCTTCCTCTTCTGACCAACTCGGCTTATGTTTTGTTGTGCTGATGGTGTTGCCGTTGCAGTTTCGCTGTTGTGAGTTGTGGTTCTTACTGTTTTATTGTTCTTGGTGTTGTTATTGAACTGTTATTGTTAGTGTTAATCTTCGTCTGCTGCTCATTATTGTTCTTATTCTGTTGCTATTGCTGCTGCTGCCGCCTTTTTTCTTGGTGGTGGTGATGGTGGTGGTGGCGGTCTCTTATTTGTTTTGAGACTCCCATGGTCTCCTCAGGCTGGAATGTTCCGAACGAAGACGTTTCAAGATGGCGGTCATCGGCCGAGAGACTGGGTCAGGAGCGATCGACAAGTACTGTGCAAAAAGACTTACTGCCACCGAGGCTATCATTACTTCTTGCGACTTGACATTGCCTTGACCCCAGCTGCTACAGCAGGGCAGAAGTCGATAGATTCCGAAACGGGTGGTTGGCACTGGAGTCGGAGGAAGGAAGGAGGTGGAGTTACTGGCAGCTTTGGGCACATGCATGTTCTGTACTATTAAGGACCTTTTCTTCGTGGAAGCGCCTGTGCTAGATCCGTTCCAGCACATGGCAGCAGCTTAGCGAGACTTTGGTGACTGCATGGCGTGTTTTGACAGCCAGCTCTGGCCAGCCCTCTGCCATAGCATTGAGCCCAGGACCATGGTTGCGTTATGGACCGAATCTCAGCTTCAGGGCCTGTGGCGCAGACGCCTTCCCTCAACGAGCGTTTGTGGGTGGTCTTAGCGCGGTGAAGCGAAACCTGGCGAGCCTGCCCAGTTCCCCAAACGAGGCCTGGGCTCAAGGTGACTGTCTGCCGCAAGGCCATAGTCTAGGCTAGAAGTGTTGCGTTCCCGCCCCCGTGCTCGAACACGAAGCTCCGCGGCTTCGTAGCTACCGTGGGCCAGTTTTGTCTGGTGCGTGCAGAAAGCTATGGGATGCCTGCATGCAACCAGCTTGCTGCACTTGATGCGCCAAAGAGGCCAAGAAGGCGAACCCAGAGCCGGGCAGCTCGATCTCAAGAACATCCTCAATATCATGAAGCACGACCGTGTGCACACCAAAGAAAGCTTAGAGGAAGTGTGCTTTACGATCGATCAAGGCCACCCTATGAAGGGAGAGTCGGGTGAAGAAGATGATGCCAAGAACAACATATTTCTGCGACCTGAGACCAGGACAGATGGAGTGATGACGGAAGGTGAATGTGTTGCCTTCAATGAGAAGATCTTGCGCATTGCGGTGGACCAGGCAGTAGCCCTTGCCAAGCAATCGGCTGCTGTGAGGCACACGCACTTTGACTTCGAAAGTTACTGCACGAAGCTCTTTGACTTGGTGGTGTTACCACCAATGAAGGCTTGTCCACCGAGGAGCCTGTTCCGATCCCAGACCGAGAATCCTCAACGGGGTTGGATGGGCTTTCTCAGCCGGATCTCATCTCGAGTGCACATCTTCCCAGAGATCCAACAGATCCTCTGGCTGGTAGGGCTGGTGGAAGAACCTTGCGACCTTGGAGCGCGCGACGAATGATGGGACTTGCAAGAAGTGGGTCCAACTCGCGACTCAGTATGCGTGGTCAGGGAACATAGAACTCGTGCATGCTTGAATCAAGTTTGATTTGTGATGGAGGGTTCGATGACGCGAGCCTCTCTTGCCAAAGGGGAATTCCCGTCCGTTCGAAGATCCGGACTTTGTCGGCGTCAAGGAGTTGATTAACAAGCACAAGGGTGGCAACGGGGTCGAAATCGCTCAGGGTTGGCTGAACATGCTGTCGACCTTCGATCCAACGGGTTGGATTGCAGCAGCTTCTACTTTCGTTGAACCGAAATGGCCGGAGCTGAAAGCGGCGAAATATCTGATCTGTCCGGCGAAAAGAATCCATCAAGCGTTTGGCATACCACCACGCGCCCATATTGCCTGGCGGGTGCGATATGTTCATAGATCCTTTGGTCGGACGAGCCGTGTCTTTGCCTACCACTGGGACATCTGGGCCGAGTAGAGTATGCAGGCAGACACTGTGGAAGCAACCGAATCCAGTGGACACGTGCAACGACACTGGATCGAGCATAGGGCCTTCTTGAGTGGCAATGTGAGTGGGACTGGATGTCTCATCCGGACAGAAGCAAAGTGGCCGGTGACTGTGGCACAGCCCCCAGTATTTCTGGTGGCCAAAGCTTGCCGACAATCTGTCTGGACTCTTCGTTTCTGCCCACCACGTTTTTTCAATATCCCCAACATCCCGAAGTGGGATGGCACGCAATGGGACAGCGCGTCTTGAATGATTTGTTCAATAATGCGCTGTTGGCTCGGTGCCAGCGCGTCACGATCACAGTTCATCATGGTTCAAGCCATGATGTTTAGCTTGGTTAGGATCGCCTGCAGGCGTTGAGTCAAAAAGTCTAGATGCAAGCCCTGTAATACCTTGTGCTTCAGGCCGAATGGTCCGATGCTGCTCTGCGGTTTGGCATAGGCACTCATTATGAATGCATGATGGTCGCTTTCGAGTACGAGCCGCAGTTGGACCGTTCGCCCTGAAGCCTTGTCTGCCTTGTGCGAGTGTGAGGGCCGCACATGGCGCAAGCCTAAATCCTGAACTACAGGCTCAGCTGTAGTATTCTAGCTGAGTTAGGCCCGAAACTACACACGAAAACCCAAACCAACTAGATGTACATATACAGAATAAATACATCGATAAACAAATGAGCACATAATAACACACACACACAAATACACACATATATATATATGTGTACATATACATATACATACACATACACACATACATACACACAACACACACATACACACACACACACATACATACATACATACATACATACATACATAGATACTGTGTGTTTGTACATGTGGCAAAGAGCATAGCCTAAACCGCAGGTCTATGATCGGCTCTCCCGTGAAGCTCCCGGCTGCTTTGATGACTTCAACCATCGCTGTCAGGAGCCCGCGACTCAGAAATGTGTAGATTATGTGAGGGCCTTCAGAATTGGAGTAGGATTCTATAAGGGTAATCAGGGGTAACAAGGGCTGTTTTTTGATCCACATTTCTCCTTAACTTGCTGCAAGAGGAAGTGGTTACAAATTATTCAACCCCTACAACATGACGGCAAAGCGGACGGCGCACACAGCAGTGCCTGACACACGCATACAGTGCATTCCGACAGGGTGCATATAGCACATATTAATAGGCAAGTAAGTAGATAGCTAGATAGCTAGCTAGCCAGCAGATTGCCAGGTGGATAGGTAGATAGATACTTAGATACATACGTAGATAGTTAGTTAGGTCAGTGGATAGATAGAAAAACGATAGATCGATCGATAGACGGATAGACCGACAGATAGATGGTTCATTCAAGTGATGCCTGTCAGGTTCTTGGACATGATTGAATACGATGGCCAACCCGATGGAGACATTCTGCAAGTAGGCGGTGCAGCTACGCAGATTCGTGTCGCCATGTATCCATCCATGTCGTTGCTTATGGCAGGTCCAGTCCACTGCGGCTTTTTCGGGATTGTTGTTTATTTGGTTTTACGTTTTCGCACGCCCTAAACTGACAGATCGTGCTTTCCTTCCCCCCAGTTGGGTGTGCCGACGCAACCAACCTGTGACTCACGCTGGTAGGTCCGCTCGTAGATTGCTGGGACCCTGTGGGAAACTAGCGGTACTTCTGCCGACCACTTCTCGAGTGAAGTCGGCACAACCCTTGTCCGGCAAAACGGCTGCAACAAAGCTGCCGAAACCCTGAAGCCTAGAAGCTCTGCGGTGTCAGACTTTGCACAGTGTCCTCAAGACCTTCAACTTTCTGCAGTGCTGCAGGCTATGGTCCTGCAGCAGCCGGTGGCCAGTGGGCCGCTGAGCCACCTGCTGGTGCTGGTGCTGGCGCTGGTGGTAATGCTGTGCTTGTTGCTACAGTAGATCCTCTACTGCTACCGCGGCTGCTGCTACTGCTGTTGCTGCTGTTGCTGCTGTTGCTGTCACTTGCAACAACAACAACAACAACTACTACTACTACTACTACTACCACCTCCTACTACTACTACTACTACTACTACTACCTACTACTACTACCTACTACTACCTGCTACTACCTACTACTACCTA